CGCCCCCGTCCCGAGCCGCCGCCGACCGGCCGCACCGCACCGCCCGGCCCCGCCCCACCCCTCGTCGTGGTGATTTTTTCTGTTATTTTTAGATTTAGTTTATGTTTGTTTAGTTTAGGTTAGGTTAGTTTAATTTAGGTTAGGTTAGGTTAGTTTAGGTTAATTTAGTTTATTTTAGGTTACATTTAGTTTATAGTTTTGTTTAAGTTTTTTTCTTCTGTTTTTTAAGAATAAACAAGAAAGATGAAAAAAGAAGTAAAAGAAGGAGTGGAAGAAAAAGAAGAAGAGGAAGAAGAATAAGAAAAAAAGAACAATAAGTAGTAGTAGAAGAAGAAGAAGATGAAAACAAGAAGTAGAAGATGAAAAAAGAAGTAGGAAAAGGGGGCATCCAAGATCGAGCGGGTTAGGGGGTTCCTCGGTGTCGATGGAACCCTAAATTGAAAGTATCATCGGTGCGAGATACATGTGACCGTCGGTGTCGAACACTACATCCACGTCCCACAAGTGACGCCGGCGTCTGGCGTCCCACAACAACAATTCTCCGCGTTGATGGCGGTCGAACATCATTGCGAATTTTGTCTTGCAGCCTCTGCGATAACGATTAAAAGTCAAGTGTTGAAACTTGAAACACCCAAACTGACTCAAGTCGGTTTGGTTGTTTGAACTTTCAAAACTTGGCTTTAATCCTCATCGCAAAGGCTGCCAGACAAATATGCCAAGGTGTTCGACCATCATCGGCCACCAGAGCTATTATTGCGGGACGCCGGGCGCCGACTTCACTTGTGGGATGTGGATCTAGTGTTCAACGCCGAGCGCCACATGTATCTCACACCGATGATACTTGCTATTTAGGATTCCATCTACGTCGAGGAACCCCCTAACCCGCTCATCATGTTGTAAATATTTAGTTAGATTGACAGGAAAAACAAAATTGCTATGTTACTCATCTTCCGATTTAAATGTGCAGTTTTTTCGTCGCTGCGAGGGTCTAGTGTTCGACGAGCTCCGCCCCTGCGTTCGTGGGTGAGCACAAATGACATCTCCTCCTCCCCCTTCATTTTCTATGTTCCGGTCTTCGTGCCGATGAAACTTGCTAGCTATAGGTGTCTTCAATCATCAGTATGCGTGACCACTATGCGTCTCCCGTTCGAAAGGGTTACATCTATAATATGCATGCATTTGCATATTTTATAACTGTGATTCTTTCGAATTGTCCAACATTATCCATGGACAGCCCGAGTATGTGTAGATTGGGTTCGTTTTCCCATATGCTCTGCTCCAGATTCGATGCAGAATTTCGTCAGTGCCTCCCTGTTGTTCTCTAGGTACACATCCTCTTTGCTTATTGCCGAGACGTGTACCAGGAGAACAGCGGGGAGGTGCTGCGGAAATTTTGCATCGGATCCGGAGCAGAGCATGAGAAAACGAACTCAATCTACACATACTCGGGTGGGATTAGGACCTATCTTTACCTATTAGCATCTAGGTTGCATGGACGTAATAAAAGGGACAGACTCCATTAACTGATGAA